TAACCCCAACGATCCAATTGTTGAATAAATTGAGACCTATAATAATTTCTAGAAGAAGAAAAATAAGTTTTTCGTAAAACATTGTTTCTTTCATTCCTATTCATGTATTTGATTTCAACAAAATCAACTGATTTTTTTAAAGAATCAAAATTCTTGGTAAAAGAAAGAATTTGGATGACTTCTTGAAACGTAATGACTAAAATAGCCACTGATAATAATGATCCACATAAAAGAGCTGCATAGCCCAGTATCATCATACTTACGTGCATCATTAGCCAATGGGATTGTAGAGCGGGTACTAATATTACGGATTGATGCAGTTTGGTTAAAAGACCCGAAGTCGCAAAGGCTTGGGTAAAAATAACACTTGGTGCAATTATTGTACTTAAAAGGTTTTTCTCCTTTTTAAAAAAAAGAACCATATGAAAAATTGAAAAACCCCATGAAAGAAAGATTAGGGATTCATATAAATCACTAAATGGTAAATGTCCCGAAAAAAACCAACGAGTAATTAACAATCCCGTTACACAGAAAAAAGTTATTATCATGGCTTTTTTGGACAAATCATATAATCCTACAATTTCATTGACTAATAAGGTTATCAAATGAATTGAAATAACAATTGATATAAGGGAAAACGATATATGAGTTAATATATGCTCTAAAGTTGATAATATCATATATATCATGAAAATAAAAATATCTATAATGAAAATAAAAAAGGTATGAATACTCGGAATAGAAATAGGGAATTCATTATAGGACTTATGATATGATTATTTGAAAATTTTTCAAATAAAATATAGGATGCCATGCCACTATACCGATGATGCAAAAAGATGTGGGATCTTAAAGTCAAAAATTAGGGTGCAACAAGTATAAATTAACACATGGTATAAAAGAGGCACGTCACATTATCCAGGAAATTCAAAACACATACAACACCTACTCATAAAGATATGCAACAAAGGGTAAATCACCACAAAGGAACTTAGTCCTTAAAACCCACATATCAATATTTAGAATAAAAGCAGAAACATCTAAACATTGAATCACTTCATTCATATAAACATTATATACATCAACAGTTTAATTCAAGTCATAAGTCATGTTTACAAAACATACACCGGCAGATACATACACAGATGTGTCACAAAAGAATCAAAACAATTCCTAACTACCCGGTGCTACATATCAAAGCCAACCGACCAAAAAGAATGAAGTCACGCTTCACAAAAGACCTCCAGTAAACCTACTCTACAATGCCTCATAGAGCATCATAAAACAGCAGAAGGGTGAGAAACATTATCATAACAAACAATGCATATAATTATATATCTATAAACACCAACATAAAATACACATAAAGAACAACATGGTAGTATGTGTTTGTGCATCGATTACCGTCAGTTGAATAAAGTGACCATCAAGAACAAATATCCTCTTCCAAGGATTGATGATTTGATGGATCAGTTGGTGGGAGCTCGTGTGTTCAGTAAGATTGATTTGAGGTCGGGTTACCATCAGATCAGAGTGAAAGAAGGTGATATTCAGAAGACAACATTTAGGACTCGATACAGACATTACGAGTATGTGGTAATGCCTTTCGGAGTGTCTAATGCGTCGGGAGTGTTTATGGAGTACATAAACCGGATCTTCCATTCTTATTTGGATCAGTTTATTGTTGTGTTCATTGATGATATACTAATTTATTCGAAGTCTGAGGAAGAGCATGTAGGACATTTGAGGATTGCCTTGCAAGTGTTGAAGGATAATAAGTTGTTTGCGAAACTATCCAAGTGCGCGTTTTGGTTGAAGACGGTGAGTTTCTTGGGGCATGTGATTTCTGGTGATGGTATATCAGTAGATCCGTCAAAGGTGAGTGCGATGTTGCAATGGGAACCACCGAAGACAGCATCGGAAGTTAGAAGCTTTTTGGGTTTAGCAGGGTATTACCGGAGATTTATTGAAGGATTTTCTAGTTTGGCGTTGCCATTGACTCAGTTAACAAGGAAGAATCAAGCTTTTGTGTGGGATGCTGCCTGTGAAGAGAGTTTTGAGGAGCTGAAAAAGAGATTGACTTCAGCACTGGTGTTAGTATTGCCAAATTCGAGTGAGCCTTTTGTGGTGTATTGTGATGCATCTAAGATGGGATTAGACAGAGTTCTTATGCAGAATGGAAAAGTGGCAGCTTATGCTTCGCGGCAATTGAGGGTGTATGAGCGGAATTATCCTACTCATGACCTTGAGTTGGCTGCACTGGTTTTTGCGTTGAAGATCTGGAGGCATTATTTGTATGGTTTGAGGTTTAAGGTGTTCAGTGATCATAAGAGCTTGAAGTATCTGTTTGATAAGAAGGAGCTGAATATGCGGCAGAGAAGATGGTTGGAACTCTTGAAGGATTATGATTTCAGTCTAAATTATCATCCAGGAAAAGCGAATGTTGTTGCGGATGCTTTGAGCCGGAAGATACTTCATATATCGGCTTTGATGGTGAAGGAAATGGAGCTAATTGAGCAGTTCAGAGATCTAAGCACGGTTTGTGAATTTACGGCAGATGGTGTGATGTTGGGCAAGTTGCAAGTGAGGAATGATTTCTTGGATATGATTAGAGAAAACCAGAAGCTGGATGTGAAATTGGTGGATTTGTTGCGAGGAGCCGAAGGTGACTCCGGTAGTGATTTCAAGTTGGACAATACAGGTGTGTTGATATTTCGGGCCAGGATTTGTGTGCCGGATAATGACGAGCTGAAGAAGTCAATTTTGGACGAAGGACATCGTAGTATCCTGAGTATCCATTCGGAAGCTATGAAGATGTATCATGATTTGAAGAAGTTGTTTTGATGGTCTGGTATGAAAAGAGATATCGCTCGTTTTGTTTATGCTTGTTTGACATGTCAGAAATCGAAGGTGGAACATCAGAGACCTTCTGAATTGATGCAACCGTTAGAAATTCCGATTTGGAAATGGGATTGTATCACCATGGACTTTGTTACGGGTTTGCCAAGCACGGCGAGAGGATTTGATGCCATTTGGGTGATTGTGGATCGACTTACGAAGTCTGCACATTTTGTGTCGATCAGTATCAGTTTTCCGTTGGAGAATCTGGCAGGGATTTATATTCGGGTGATTGTGAAGCTGCATGGTGTTCCGTCGAGTATCGTGTCGGATAGGGATCCGAGGATTACTTCAGAATTTTGGAAGAGTTTGCAGGAAGCTTTGGGTACTAAGTTGAAGCTGGGTTCAACTTATCATCCGCAAACTGATGGCCAGTCAGAGAGGACTGTTCAGACGCTGGGGGATTTATTACAGGCATGTGTGTTGGAAAAAGGTGGTGGGTGGGATACTCATTTGCCATTGGTAGAGTTCTCGTACAACAACAATTACCATTCAAGTATCGGAATGGCACTATTTGAGGCTCTTTATGGTAGGAGGTGTGTAACGCCCCCTTTCTATACCCCAAAATGATCACATATCAAATCATATAGTCACGAATACAAGTGTTTTTATTTTCATCAGAGTGTATTTACATTAAGGTATAAAAGAAGTGCGTCACAATACTCACGAAACGACCACATGAATATTAATGTTTAAAAAGAATTAACTCAAAAGGGGTAAATCTCAACTAAAAATAAACGCATGATTCTTCGAAATTACATATTCACGTTTTCTCTTAAAGCGGAAGACTAAAACATATATATATTCACTTAAGACATGACAAAACGTAATTACATGTCATCTGGTTGTTCACAACTTCATTCACATACAAACAAAACATCATTAAGACATTCTACAAGCCTATCTACCCAAAGTTACATATCAGAGCGACCGACACGAGGGAAAGGAACTATACTCCAAAGGAAACCTCCAGTAAATCCTAATCTGGAATGCCTCGTAGGACATTATAAAACAACAGAAGGGTGAG